ATTTGAATTTGAATCTGAATTTTTGTATTTCACATGTTCGCAAGGATTCCCCCCACCCAGTTCACAATCAGTTCTTTCCCCAGTTTCAAAATATATCAGAGATGTAGCAAATATCATATGATCTATGAACAGATTTGTCCAGGTGTCCAGTGGTTAATTGCTAAGTACCTGGAGGCAGGACCTCACAGCAGAGGCATGCGCCATACTGTGTTGTATGTTATTATATGTATTTTGCATGTATTTTATTTACCAACATAAAGAAGTGACAGGCAAAGAAATACCACACCATAATGCATGTTTACATAAGAACGGTTTATTGATTACATCTACCCATTAGACTAATGATGGCCCGCTTGAAGCTGGCGCTCCGGTGTGTACCCAAAAAACAACACACTGCAGAAGCACTGTGTCGTTTGGCCAGAGTCACGTGATCGGTGACGTCCGAAGCTTCATTCCGAACACAAGTGTTTCAGTGGTTTACAGGCAGGTGAATCATTCGCGGGATTTTGAGTTGATTTTGCTCAATTCATTTTATCTGCCGAAGTGAAAAACCTGACATGTCCAAAATCATGTTTTCATAATGGAAATGCCATTACAGCATATGACTTTAGGAACACTTCTATGTGAATTAAAGCTGATGAAGACTACAACAATGTATTTGACACTATACGTACATTACATTGCTACAGTTTAGACAATCATTTTGTTTATTGTTTTTAGGTGATAGTCTGCAGGACCCAGGAATACCTGCATATCTACCAACTTGCAGTGTAGTTCCTGCACTCCACAGCCTCTTCTGTTCCATGCAAGTGGATTTTCTCCAGGGCAGGAGAAACTATTTCTAAGAAAAGGAACAGACTCAGCCAGCGCACAGTAACACTAATCCTCTTTTTAAATGTAACTAACAAAAGGGCTACCTGACATAGATCATGTTTTTACTTTGCAAGTTCTTGATTAGGGGTGGGCTTTGATTATCGCCTTTCTGATTACAATCCATGGTAAATTGAATAAAGTGATATTGATTCATTACAATCCTGTGTCGATTTGTGAATTAACGTTATTATGCCTGAAACGCCAGCATCTCAGCTTAAACCTCACAACATGTCGTCAAACACCATACAGCTAAAACAGTAACTGGGAGCAGGTTTACGGATTCTGCATACAAACGTGAACACAGAGCGCGGACCCGACGCGTCAGAATCAGATTTTGGTGTGTCGTCGGGTCCGCGCTGTGTTTGCCTCTTTTTTTTCCGTTGGCTTCTGCAGCTGCAGGTTTCATAACTCTCTGTTTACATCTCTAATGAAGTCTCACATGTGTCAGCTTTCTTTTAATAGATACAAAATTATGGATATATACTGATACATGACCAGAATTGTAATATTTCTGACTGGGGCAAAACTTTCCAGATTCCAATCATATTGAATCGGATCCTGTATCGAATCAAAATGGTTCTACAAATCAGTAACGATGCAGCCGTACTCAGCTTCCTAAGCATTTTCCCTTTCCAGTTCACAATCAATCCTACCCCTAGGTCAAAAATATGTATGGGACAATTGGCCTAATCTAATATTTTGTATGAACCTGTCCAGCTGTCCAGTGATTGAATGACAAGTAGATGGTGGAAGGACTCCACAGCAGGGGCATACTCCATAATGTGCTGTGCGTTATCATATGTATAATGTATATATTGCTCACTTATTGTATTTACCAACATCAAGGAGTTATGAGCAAAGAAAGGCCACACCATAGTGCATGTTTAAATAAGGATAGTTTATTGATCAACATGTATTACGCAAATACGCATTACATTTTTTCAGCCCCCCAATCGAGACAACAAAACCAATTACATGTTCAAAGCAACGGAACGGTGGCCCAATATCAGAGAGAACTCCACTCTTGAGTGAGCAGTGATGATTGAGCAGTCCGTTTTATTTTGCAGATTCAAGCTGCTCTTCAAAATATTCGCCACCAGATGTCACCGGAGAGGACTGTGTTGAAAAGCTTCGAGTAATGAACCATTTTTCGATACAAGCTTCAGTGCTTCGGAAAGCTTCATTTGGCCATCACTACCCTGCAGGTTTTAGATGTGTCCTCAAACCAACACAGCTGATTTAAATGGCTAAATTAGCTCCTCAACATGTCCTTGAGGCCTGGTGACAAACTAATCATGTGATTCAGGTGTGTTGACCCAAGGTGAGATCTAAAACCTTTCGGGGGCACCGGCCCTCATGGCCTGAGATTGCCTACCCCTGGACTAACCCATTCTTCCACTCTCAGGTAAATTCTTAAATCCCAACCTTCCACCACAGTTTACAATATATAAATTAGAATAAATAAATACATAAGTACATTTCACATTTTCATATTAATAAATATTCCACACTTTAATTTTACACCAAACCCAATATTATAAAAACCCAGAAACCCCAAGCACAAAAAGATTCATCACACTCTCTTTAACAATGGTCTCTCCCGGAACCTTTAAATGGTGTCTGAACCCCCGGGGAAACATTTGTCCAAACACCTTGAAGAGGACACAGGCAAGAAAGGTGACAATAATAATAATGTTTTGGATTTATATAGCGCTTTTCAAGGCACCCAAAGCGCTTTACAATGCCACTATTCATTCTCTCTCGCGTTCACACACTGGTGGAGGCAAGCTACGGTTGTAGCCACAGCTGCCCTGGGGCAGACTGACAGAAGCGAGGCTGCCATATGGCGCCATCGGCCCCTCTGGCCAACACCAGTAGGCGGTAGGGTAAAAGACTTGTGTCCTTGGGTAAAGCGACTTGCCCAAGGACACAACGACCAGGACAGAGAGTACAGGGATCGAACCGGCGACCTTCCGGTTACAGATGTGCTTCCCAACCCCCTGAGCCACGGTCACCCACGTGATGAGTAATCATTATCTTACAAACACTTATTTGCACCACTTTTATTCCTAGATTTCACACACACTTGCATTAGTTTTCCTTACTGCTTAATCACAATCTCAATCACCATTCTTCTCTCCTGACAGACAACCACCACATTCCTTGATGAGGAGCAGATGAGCAGGATCTGAAATAAGGCTACCAACTGATTTTAAAATTCCCAATAAATAGTCAATAAATATTTAAATTTAAACTTCTTGTGTGCAAATCCATGCTTAAAGTGCAATGCTAAATAAAGTGCTTGATAAGGTGCTTTTAATAAAGTGAAAGGTGTGCTCTAAAGTGCTATACAGATAATATAATATAAATGAATGTAGTAAGGGAGTCCTCTTCCTTACAAAAGGATATCCAACGACGGGAGGGGAGGATCACTGTCCCTATATAAGGTACATCCAATCTGCATTGGGTCTCTCTCTCTCTCTCTCTCTCTCTCTTCTGCTTCTGCTGCTTTGTTCCTGTCAGTCTTTGTCTGTATTTTCTGTTCGTGCTTTAAGGCTCTGCACCGCGCGGTTGCCTCACTTTTTTGTTTGCTTGCTTTCTATGTGTTCCAGTGTTCCAGAGAATCATTATGAGTGATTTGAATTTAATTGGATCTGAATTTTTGAATTTATCGGCTTCAAAACACAAGGATCTGAGGAGTTCTGCAGGTTTTTTTTATTTTATTTTTTTAGCAAAATCGGTTTTTATTTTGCTCTCTTCTGGCTACTGAGTCCTGTCTCAATATGCGTACTTGTGCATCCTTGCGTTCTCGTGTACTCGTGATACGTCATCAGTCGGAGACCAAGTACTGTTCCAATTCAAAGTATGCATCAAGCCGAGAACGCGAAAAAGTCCCGGATGTTTTCTCGCTCCGCCTGTTTTATCGAGCATGCATCGGTGGTGACTTGTGTGGACTTGGTACAGCTAAATATCCCAGAATGCATTTCATTCAAAACTCAAACGCGGCAATGGCAGACGAGCAGGGCTGAAAACTTTTAAATATTTCTCTTGCTGGGTCACAAAATAAACTTTTAAGTTATTTTCAAGCAAGAATGTAGCTGTGTAAGCTTCAAATATCTGCTCGATTTATCAAGATATCATATATTTCCAAACGTGCTCTGACGTTTTCAGAGACGTCTGTGACCCGCCAGCTCCATAGCAGACAGTGAGGTCGAGGATCACTAGAGCCGGCGAGAACAGCGGACTCCTGGCACATAATTTTCAACCCCTACGCAGTCTTTTCGCTAGTCAGGTTAAACAAACCCCAGCAGCTGTCTATTGTACTAAAATAAAAATAAAGGCGTTCTAACATCTCACCTGCTTGTTTTTATTAAGACATACATGCACACTATTTTTATTAATAGAGATTTTGCTACTGAGGTTAAACATGATATATAAGTAACTTAGATCACTTCTAAATGTTAATGTTTGGTTTATTTCAGTGTTCAGTGGCAAGTCTGGTCTCGCCGAGAACGCGAGTACATACTTGCCAGTACAGTACAGTACCAGTGGCAAAAAGCAGTGCTAGGTGGTAATACGCTGTCTAACAGCTTGGATAGACTCCAGCCCCTCCTCAAAACTAAAATGGACGGATGAAGTATGCCGTCTGGAATAATATTATAAAATTGTCTAGGAACGAACTCAAACATCTAAAATCGTAAAAATGCTTCACATCAAAACTAGACTATCTAAAATCAACAAATGTAAAACTATACAAATGTGTTTAATATATAGCTCTGAATGAATTCTGCAATTTTGCATTGTGACAATATCACGGGCTATAATGCAGGGAGATTCGCAAACATGTCAGTGTCCTCTGCTATAACAGCACATCTATACACACGAGGGGCATCCCCACAGCAAACATTACAGGTGTTGTATCCCTTCTTTCTTGGAGCTATATTGTTTTTACACCCTCTCATTGTGTGTAATTGCTCTCAATGTCAGAAGAGGGAGACAAAAGGCAGATTAACTTTTACTATGATTGTTTCTTTTTTTTTACATGACCATGAATTATTACATTAACACGAGTAACATACGAAGCCAATCAAACTGGCTAATCTAGTTGTGTTGAATACAGAAAAAAAATGTATAAATAATGTGAAATATAGATTCAAGTACAACGCACAAACATTTAAATGAGAGGTGCAGAGGTTTGTTAAAAGGCTTGTTCGCCGCAGTGTACGTCTGCAGGTCTTTAAGTGTCATCTGTTTCTGTTGAAATGACAACAGATTCTCCATCAGAGCTCGTTTCATGTCTAAACTTCACAGCAGCATAATCAGCATGCTGCTCTTCTCTTGGCTGAAGTGTCTCTATGGTGGAAAAAAGAGGATCTGTGTGGTTTTTGAAGAAGTGAACTTTGCTGTAGAGGACTTCATCCTCCACCTGTGGCTGAGCTAAGACGTCTTCACATGCAGGATCAGGATTTAGCTGAGAACAAAAAGCGATACATCATAATTCACTTAAAGATTTGACTCCTTTGACTCTGTAAGACAGATCATTCAGTATGAAAATGTGTTTTCCAACTCCACAGTAATCTTTACCTCCACTATGTTGTTTGATGTTTCGTTTGTGGAAGACTGACTCGTAGTCCTCTTTTTTCTGGTTATTGAAAGTAATAAACAGAAAAAATAAGTGAGTTCATGCCAGAGATAAAATGTTGTCACTTTGAATCAAACACACTGTTGCGTACCTAATCAAAAAGAAGAAAAAGAGAACTATTGAAACCAGAACTATTACAGAAACTCCTCGTGTCCTTCCTGTGATACTTTGGACAGTGAGAGTCTTTGGAGCAGAGCTGATATCTTTGTTGGTTTTCACAGCACAGGAGTAGCTTCCTGCATCCTCCCTGCTGACTGGGTCTAGGATCAGATGCTTGATCTGGTTCTCTCTCGGGGTCAGAGGTCGACTGTTCAAGTACCAAATGTAGTTTGTGTTGTCAGTCAGAGGACAGCTGGTGCTGCAGGTCAGTGTGACTCTCTGACCCTCTGTCACCACTGCAGAAGGACTCATCTTCACTCTCAGCTCTGAAACAGGAACATTAATAATGACAGATGTTATATGTTAAGATGAAACATTACACAATTGCAACATGTGCTAGAGACTGAATCTGAGTGAGTTAAGCCAAAAAGCAGACTCTTTAATCCCCCATGCACTGATAAAATCTAACATTGACTTAAGTTCTGTACTTTTATGACATTTACGAGGGAATAGTTGCTTTTTTAAACTCCACTCCATGTACAATGTATGACAGCCTGAGTTAATATTTACTTTAAGGTTTATCCTACCGTTGCATCCTGCCTGTCCAGTTGCTTCTTTTTTTGTGGGTCTCCGCCTTGACTTTTGTCTTCAGTAACTGAAACTTGCATTGTGCTTTGGGTCTTTATGTCATGATCTTTGGTTTTATACTCAGTGTTTTCTGTTTTGGACTCAGTAAATTTTCTGTCTGACTTCGTTCTAGTTTTAATTTAAACATTACATTTGCTTATGTTCAGTCGTCAATCTTGTGTTGTATTCAAGATTTCTTTGTTAGATATTCTCAAGTTTTTCCTGCCCTCCTATGTTCTCTTTGCCTCGTCTGTGTTTCTTTTATGTTTCCTATGTTTCCCATGTTTAGTCAGTTTTAACTTTGTGTTTAATTTGCCCTGTCTAGTTTGTGTTTCAGTCAGTGTTAGTCTCCTGATTTATTTTGATAGTTTTTTGTCCTGTGTGTAGTGTTCAGTTTTGCTTCCATTGTCATTGGGCTGACTTATTTGACCTGTGCATTGTTTTGCCCAGTTGTGTATTTCCTGTCAGCTAGTCAGTGTCTGTGTTTCAGTTAGTTTACTCAAGCTGTGCTCTGCTTCTAATTTTATTTCAATCTGAGACCCATCTCCACAGTGACATCTGCTGGCCAAATTGACTATCGCCACAAATTGATAATGCTGTTTTGTGAAACAAGGATGCAGACAAGCACAATTCTAAACAAAAATACTTATTAAACCAGACTGTCAATGATGGTGAATAACACATGTTTTGGAGAAATCCCCACACAAACATTGCAAATTGAGACTGTTAGAGACAGCTGCTGGCTTTGATCGTAATAAACAATAATTTGCTTTATAAAGTAAAACATATAGAGAAAAAGTTGCTGTATTTAATCTAATAATCACAAGTTTTCAGCTGTTTTTGTCTCAGTCAGCTTTGTTTTTTACTCACAGGACTCAAACTCTGGATGTGTTATCACCTTTTTAATTTTGTAGGAGGCTCCTAGCCGCCACCTGGCTCTGAGGGTATTGTTAACGAGTGACAGGAGAAGAGAGCAGGAGATCAACAGACAGATTGGTGCTGTGGCTGCAGTGATGCAGACCCTGCACCAGTCTGTTGTGGTAAAGAGAGAGCTGAGAGAGCTTAGCGAAGCTCTCAATTTACTATTAAAACTACGTCCCTACCCTCACCTATGGTCAGCAGCTGTGAGTAGTGACCAAAAGATTGAGATCCAGAAATGAGCTTCCTCTGAAGGGTGGCTGGCCTCTCCCTTAGAGATAGGGTGAGAAGTTCAGTCATCCGGGAGGGTCTCAGAGTACAGCCACTGCTCCTTCACATCGAAAGGAGCCAGTTGTCCCACCGGGAGGACCCAGGAGCCCTGGAGCGGACCCAGGACACGCTGAAGAGATTACATCTCTTAGCTGGCCTGGGAACGCCTTGGTGTTCCCCTGGACAAGCTGGAGGAGGTGGCTGGATGGATGCATAGATGGATGGATGATAGATAAGAGTTTGTGTCAGGTAAGGTTTACACACAGTCAATCAACGGTAGAAGGGGGCGTAGCTTTAGCTTTTATTTTTAATAATTAAAAAACTACTTAAATGAAAATACTAAATGTCTTTTCCTTCTTTAAAAAAAAGTTAACATTTATCAAAATTTTATTGGTGAATTGTAACACTCCATTTCATGCACATCTTTAAACCATCCTCTGCTGAGTGACCTCTGAACCACGAAGAAACTTTCCTTAACTTTATACTGCTGTGAGTCAGAGCTGAAAACTGTTTTATTTTCTTCTTGAAAGCAGAGGTGTTTTTTTTTATATTTAACAGCAATCGAGAGCAAAAATATTGATGAAATAATATGAGTATTATTGATGAGTATTATTTTCTTTTATAAACAGAACCTGTAGTATCAAAACAGTAATTCAATAAATAGAAATAGCTCTGAAGCAGCAGGTATGCCACCTGTTGAAACTGTGGTGAAGGGCAGTTTGTCTGAACACCTTTGGACCCGACTGTATATAATATTAAAACTATTATGATTATCTACAATAGAAGCCAACTTTTACTTTTGATATTTTAACTAAAGTTATGTTTCATAAAATGCACATGATTTTAATTAAAAGCAAACTTTTTCATTGTAAGGGAATATTTTAACATTATTAAAGAACAAAGAAGGCTCTGAATATTTCTTCCACCTCTGCTCCTGTTCAGACATTAATAAGTAAAGTCTGCTGAGTGAGGAGTTTAGATTTACCTGTGACAATCAAAAAGACTCCAGGCAGATCAGACTGTGTCCATCTTTCATGATCTCTCTTGAATCTGAATGTGTATCCTCCTGAGTCATTCTTCTTCAGGTTGTTGATGGTCAGGATGTGTTGGTTCTTCATGTTGTCCTGATATTCCACACGACCTGCAGCCTCAATCAGCTCTTCAACTTCCACTTTATCTTTTCTCCATTTTTTACTCCAACATTTGAACTCTGGCTTCATGTTATCAGGATGTGAGTATTCACTTGTGATGTTGACTGAAGATCCTTCCAGAGCACAGATTCTCCTGCTGACATAATTCACTCTCCAGCAGTTTTTATCCTGAACACCTGAAATATAGATGGATTATGAAATGACTGACTGGTCTATATTTCAGGATGTCAGTGAATCAATAATTTTTTTTTAACACATACAAACTTCTGTAGATTGAAGACGTTTGTGGCTTTTAACTGCACAAGAAAATGTGCCTCTTGAAGAGTTTTGAACTGAATAATGTTGATTCTCATAATAGTTTTGTTTGTTGTGATACCACATGAAAACAGTTTGATCATCAGTCAGGTTACAGCTGGTGTTACAGGTCAGTGTGACAAACTCTGAGATGGAAGAAGCTCTTTGAACATGAACCTCTGTTGAAAAAGGATAAACACACTGCTTGTCACTATATTTGATATAATCATACATCTTATTTAAGACATATACATGTATTGTTGCAACAAATATGATATAAACTTCACCTCTGGGGTAGGTGATGGAGCACGGCTTATCCACTAATGTCTGTTTATAAGAACAAATGTTTCCATAAGCATAAGAGAGACTGAAGCATGTCTGTGTGATGGAATCTGAACAAAAAGACATGATGTTAAATATTTGTACTGAGGTCATTTTCACAGGGTTTAGCTGGAGAGTCTGTAGCAACAACAGTCATGACTCACCCACAGAGACTTCAGGGGCTCTGAGATGCTCGTAGCCTTTGACAGCACAGGAGTATGTGACTGCTTCCTCACTGCTGAGCAGCTCTTGGTACCAGGGAGACCAGTCCTCATAGAGAAACTCTCTGTTCTTGTACCAGATGTAGGCTGCAGGCTTTTCAGTCAGAGGACAGCTGCTGCTGCACATCAGTGTTACTGTCTGTCCCTCTGTGGCAGGAATCACCTTTACCTGCAGCTCTGAGAGGATGATGGAGAACAACTTATACAATGATGTCATTTGGAAAGTAAGTAATAAGTAAAAGTCACTGTACCTGCAACAACTTGAAGAGTAATTCTGTTGAGCCAACAGAGTTGTGGACTGTCTGTAGTATTCATACAGCAGTAAGCGTTTGCATCACTCTCTCTTAGATCATTGATGGTTAAAGTTGGGTTTTTCTCTTCAGACATGTTGTACGTTACACGTTGTCCATCCACAGAGAGCTCACTCTGAATGTACTTGTTACCATCCCAGTGTATAGTGAACCATTTTCTGTTTGAAGTCAGATGTTGATGTGAGCAGTGCAGATCCACTGATGAACCTTTGAAAGCACAGATCCTGGTTTCTCTTCCATTAACACCTTTAACAAAAGGGAGTTAATAAATGTTTTTATCTTATTAATATGTCTTTGTTAGTAATCACTTAATAATTTTCAGTACTTTAAATTAGGAACTAATCTAATCTAAAATTTCTCATCTGTTAAAAAATTTCTCAACTTTTTTTAAACTTTTGACTTAAGTTAATATTAACTAATGATTTTTACATAAGAACTCATAAATAATTTCAGATACCTGAAATGTAAAAGATGAGACCCACAAGCAGACGACCAGCATCTCTCAACTCCATTGTTTTAGTCCAGACTTTGAGCATAAAGCTGACAGTAAAAGCTTGAACCATGAAGACAAAGTAAGTCATCGGTCAAACTAAACAGCACTCTTTGTCTGAGCGAAGGGTGAGGAGGGGGGAAGGGGGGGTGGCTGCTGTCTGCTACTCATGTTCTTTGGTTTCACATGTCGTGCATCTTTGAAACTAAAAGTAAACTTGCTTCCTCTTTCTTTAAATCTTTTGCATTCATTTTATGCTTTGTTAGCATGAGTGATATTTTAATTTGCATCAATTGATTTCCTATATAATGATTCTTTTGTTTTACTTACTTGATGCATGCAGTTGTGATTTGAATGTGTTAAATCTTCCGTTTATTAAATATATTGAAGTTGTTCAACAGGAAGTTGTGGAGGTGTTAAACTGCTGAGCATGTTTGAGTATAACAGTTTAAAATGTAAACACACAGCTGGAGTGATGTAGACATAATTCTATTGCCATTTTTATCTTTTCTTTTTCAAAATATTAAACAATGTGATATGGGAAACACGTTATTTAAAATATCCTTAACGAGTGTTTGAGCTCTCAGATTGAATTGTATTTTCCATTTCCATGAACGTTTCCTTTTACAGTACAGATCCTGGTTTTTGTGTAAAGCTGACAGTAAAACTTTCAACCAAAAGACAAAAAGAAATGCATTAGTCAAACTAAACACTCTTTCTCTGCAGACTGATGGGTGAGGGTGACAAACACCTTTTTTTTCTTTTCTTGTAAGAAGGAACTGGTTTCACACTTTGTACAGCTTTGACACTAAAACTGACTTTCTTCCTCTTTGTCTCTTGCCTTCTTGTATGCTTGTATGCATATCCATATGCAACCAGTGTTTGAGTTGTCTGATTGAATTGTATTCTGGCTTTGAAGAGTTAACCTTAATTTATTATTGTTGCTTCACTGTAGTGGTTGAACTTGTCACTTACTGCAGACTTGGTTATTCCTGTTTCTTTAATGTCACTGCTGAGTGTGGCTCAACAGTCAAAACTTGTGGAAGGCTTTAATCTTTTTTAGCCGCACCCAGAAAGGATAAATGGAATTCAACAAAATGAAATGAAACACTATCATACATAGTGGAGCCAGTTGAGGTGGTTTGGGCATCTGACAAGGATGCCACCTGGGCGCCTCCTGGGTGATGTGTTCTGGGCATCTCCCACCGGGAGGAGGCCCCGGGGACATGCCAGGACAAACTGGAGAGATTATATCTCTTGGGTTGCCTGAGAACACCTTGGTGTTTCCCCGGACAAGCTGGAGGAGGTGGCTGGGGAGAGGGAGGTCTGGGCTTGTCTGCTTAGGCTGCTGTCCCCCGGGGACCTGGCCTCGGATAAGCAGAACAAGATGGACGGATGGACTATCATATATTCTTTAATGAAAAATAAGTACTGTACTTGTTCCTGTGTCACCTTCAAGATGAAACTAGATAATTTTGGGGGACTTCTTGAAGTTGCTTAGCAGTTTAGGACATGTCCACCAGAGGACACCATTAGCTCTTCATCTCAGCAACATTTTGAATTGTTCTCTGCTACTTCTTGTCAAGTTCACAGTACAAGATAAGTGAGGTGCAAATATCTGCAGTTATTTCATTATCTTATGTTGAAAGTTTTCAGTAGCTTTTTTCTTCTTTTTTTTACATTTTAAATGAGTATGTAAAAAATATTGGATCAGTAGTTATAGTGTAAATAATCAAGCTTAAAAGGAACCAATTTTACTTGTATTTATTTTCTATCATTTGTATACTGTTACAGTGGTGGATGCCCAAGATTTAAATAATAAATTCAACATGTATACAAATAATCCCTATAAGTCAAAAGCTCAGGTTTCGGCCTTTTTGCCTTGATTTTGGATAGTTTTTCTTGTCTCTAATCAGATTATCAGCTCCACTTCTTGAACAAATGCTAATAATTAGAATTTTTACAGGTAATATTTAACAAATCATGCTGTATTTTCAAGAAGTCAGTTCCTTCAGTGTGTTTTACAGTAAAATAGAAATAACAACTTTAATACTTCATGTATATTGCATATGTATATGGTTCTTGCTGTTCCTAGGACTGCACTCTTCTGTACAGAAACCTCTGATGCTGTGCCTGGAATCTGCTGAAGCCACTCTTCCCAGTTTGGGGTGGCAGCTCCTCATGCTCCTATTACCATTGAGACCACTTTGGACTTTACCTTCGTAATCTCCTCCAGTTGGTCCTTCAGCCCCTGGTACTCCACGATTTCACTGTGTTTCTGCTTTCTTACTGTTAGCTGTGATTGACACAATTATCACAACTGTGGTCTTCTGGTCCTTGTAAAACAGATCTTGGCTAACAGTGCTTCATTCCCATGGCAATTGTAGATGTTTTTAAATGTTTTACTGTTACTATGTAACGGTTATCGTATATAGTAGTAAAGTAATTAATATTTAAACAATGCCAGGACTGAAATACTATCTTCTGTCATGACTTAAGTTGCTAGTTGATCAAGTTACCAGTAAAATGATTCATCGCAGCCACAGATTCACAGTAAATACCCCAACAAGCTTTAATGCATCTATAATAAATTATTTGCTGATTTCTGTGCGTCACTTAAACTGTATCACTAGTACTGACCCATGCTCAGTGTAAAATTAAATCCTACCTGTCTGAGCAAAGTCTGGCTCCTTTAATCCTGGATGAGAAACTGTGTGTCTGTGCTGAACCATTAATAAAATCAGGTTTGAGTCAGGCCGCTTTCAGTGGACTCTTTCTCTGTTGAAAAAAAAGGTTGGTCTTAATTTCAGATGGTAATAATTTGAGTTTTTACAGGTAGTATTTAACAAATCAACTAGTGTGTACAGCATCTTTTACAAAAGAACCCCCCATAAATAACAACTTATGAATAAAATTACATAATTTTAAGACATGATACCAAGCTCATAATACAGTCCATTACACAGTATGAGGTGTATTATAGAGTTGATTAACAATATATTACTTTGTAATTATGCACTATTCTTGCTTTAATAGTACGCCTGAAACTGACTATTATATTGGCTGTTATAAATGAGGTTTTGATTTGAACTTTGCAACAACGGAAATTCTGATTCGGTAATTCAACATATTTTCCTTTTTTCTTCATTTTTAAAATGAGGCAGAACAAGCATTCACAAACATGTTGATGCCCTCAACTCCACTACGCAATTCTATCTGCTTGCTGTTGGGACAAAGAAGAGCACCATCCACATTTTTTTTATTGACCTGGACAAGCAGGTCATACCATGCAAGTCAGTCCCGTCTGCCGTTGGGACATTGACTTCCTGACAGACAGGAAGCAACATATGAGACTAGGGAAGAATGTCTCTGACTCACAGACAATCAGCACTGGCTCCCCTCAGGGTGGTGTTCTTTTTCCTCTGCTCTTCTCCCTATACACCAACTGCTGTACCTCCAACCACCACTCTGTCAAGGTAATTAAGTTTGCAGATGACCGTTATTGGACTCATCTCGGACGGGGTGAGTCTGCTTACAGGATGGAGGCTGAATGTCTGGTGTTATGGTGCAGGCATAACAACCTGGTGTACTTCCTGAGTCAGCTAAAGAAATTCAACCTGCCAACATGGACGATGACGCAATTCTACACTGCAATCATCGAGTCCATCCTCACCTCCTCCATTGTGGT